TCATATCTTTCCGAAAAGAGACGAGGTCTGATGTAGAGTTAAGTACCTACTGAAGAGTAGCACACATTATTACAAATTATAATAATTAATTTGTAATTTATTATAAAATATATGTTGTATTAACTTTACTACAATGACAGTGCTATATAATTTTTAAATTATCATAGATTTAAACATAAGGCCACTTATTTTGCTAAACAATAAATAAAACTGCTATTACTAGTCTTAATTTTGTTTTATTCAAAAGACATTACCACTTTAACTGGCTTGTAAATGTGAAACAATTATTGTTTATTCGTAAACCGAGTACAAAATACGTAGATACATACACATTTCATTGAGTATTTCTAGAATACTTGTTTCCTCTATGTCCAAGATATACCTTCTAATCTCTATTTATTTATTTAATTAACATTATATTGGTATTTATACATACTTTAAATTTAAATGAGATCAGTTACCTAACTTTTTTGTTTTCACAATTTATGTCTATAGTACATATTAGTATTAAAGTTACGGTCCAATAAGTAACAATTCGTATTTGATCAGGGTCAAGTAATATTTGAATAGTAGAGGTCGCACTTATTATATGTTTTATATTGTTTAGAATTGTAAAAAAATCTGACGGCTTTTTGCATATTCTGGAAACAATGAAAGGTCAATAGGAATGTTACAAAAAATTCTGTGTAATCATGTTATATTTTCGCCGAGACATTATACCGTTATCATACACATATTTAATGGCCTTGGCAGCCGAAGCCTTATAGTGCACGTGATGGTGATAAATCAAACATACCATGCTAAATCAGGACAATATCTCGACCTTGCTCACTATATACGTAACTATTCACTACATAATAAACCAAACACGATACGTCAAGACTTAGACACACCTCCCAAATTCTCCGGATTCTAAGTATTTTTCTAAACGTATAAATATACCTATATATTAAATGTGTAAACTCACGTCATGAGACGTAGTCATGAAAAGCAGAAATCATGTGTCAGTCATCAATTTATTTAGTAATATATACCTACTCACAAAAATACTTGTAAAGTTTGTTATTTAATTGAAAGGAGCAACTGTGGAGAGACTCGGCTGAAAGTGCATTCTGAATCGAGTGTTGACATCATCATAAAAAACCGGTAAAGTGTGAGTTGAACATGCACACAGGACAAAAAATGTAAACTAGTTAACATTTTATATACCTACCATTCTAATTTATTTAAGTATATAGGTATTTTTCAAAAATGAGTGGATCTCGGGCTATCTCTTAAAATTTGTCCTGAATGTAAGTAGAGTTTATAAACAGTTAAACATCACAGCATGATCGTCGTGTTTATTTCCAATCACAAATACAAGAGAAATGATATTTGCATCATGGACGCTTATAATATCTTGTAATGCCTTATAAATAATCCAGTAGTATCATAAAAATTATCTTCTATGTGTAGCCACCATAATATTTATTTATTATTCGATTCGATAAATAAAAAATATTATAGTTTGTCAAAACCGAGTCTCTACTCGAGGACGCTCTTTTGCTTGAATATTTGATACTTACTTGTTCATGTGATTATGTGGTTGCTTAATCTGCTACAGATTAAGGAACCACATAATCACATGAACATCTATATTGCGATAAATGTATCTCAAAGATTTATTCGAGTATTCAATATTTATTTATAATGATTTATATTAGTAGCTCATAGAAATTATTTCAACTTACACGTCGTTGTAACACGGTCTACCAATAGCGACCGAGGTTAACGCCATACCGTTTTATGACAATTAACAGCTTAACGCTAAACAATTGACAAGTTACTAATTTACATTATGTACAATATACTTTTGTATAGTATTTTTCCTTAGTCTAGACCATATTTTGAAGGCATATTATATACATTAATTGAATATTTATAAACAATTTAAGAACTTGCTTTTATAAATAAAAAAATCTTTGAAATGTATAGACCGATAAGAAATATCTTGCATCATGTCTCAAGCACGTTACAAAGTAAGAAGTAAGTACAGTTTCAATGAAGGCGTCCATTCTAGCAATAGTAGTAATAGTAGTAACATCGGCATCAATTAAATATAAATTAATTAATTTTAGTTATTGTCATACTTTTTATTTTTCTATAACTGGAATATAAAATAAGCCATACCTATGTGACTGACATAATTTATTTATCATCAACCAAAATAGGTAGGTACTCGTAAAACGCTATGAATAGACATAAATACACTTAACAATACAAGGAACGGATGAAAATAAAATATGATGTCTATGAACTATGTACAAGAAAATATAAGACTAAATGCGTAACAATGTTGTAATCATAATTTTAATATGTATTTATTATTATTATTTTGTCCACAGAACTGTGACAAGTACAGCCAAAATAATCTGTATCCATTTAGGTATTTATTCCACTATTATTAAACATCAAAAAATTATGTAATACAAATGTATCCGTTACTGATTGTATATTATGTACATACCTACTAAACTAATTAAAATATGAAAGCCATTAGAACAAGTAAAATGCGTTAAAACCTATTATTATAATTATCACAAAGACTCTTGTTTATATATTCCTGCACAAATAAAAAATAATAAAATGAGATTCAATGTATTATTTTGATCTTTGAAAATATATTTAGATTTATTTACTGTAATATATGGTATTGATTTTGTTATACCACTATGATGGCAAACAAGCATACGCACATGTATTTACTTTGTTGCTACTGTTGCATTACTACGATCAAGAACTGATGAAATTTTATTGTAATCAGCCGAGGAAGCACTTTCTTATTTCATTATTATGGTTAACATTTACTATCTAATGCAATGTAGAGTTTATATTTAATAAAATGTCAATATAGATTCTGTACTCACTGAGGTGTCGTAGATCTAAGTGGTTTACATACATTTGGAAATTTGACGTAAACGACTACACGAAGTAGTTTCGATAATTGTTAAGAACACGTAATTTAACTGTAGCCAGCTAATCTCTACTTAACAGAATTATATTTGCAGTTAATAGTCTGTGCCTGTAAAGATATATATGACTAGTATCGAAAAAACATTTATTATAAAAAATTTATAATTAATAATATAATTATTTCTTCTGCTAATTGAATAAGTTAATAGTATACACTCTCTATATGTAACATGCTGATATATGAAACATTAATGTGTGTCAAAATACTTAAAAAATGAATAAGTAATTTTCTTAAAAAATTGTGGAAGGATTCTACTTCAATCGTTTATTTCATATTATTTGTAATAAAAGTAATTTCTGCAAAGCAATTTTATATTCAATGACATCAAATGACAATTGCAATATCGAGTTGGAGATACGAGTATGTAATCATAACGAAATTAAGTAATCAGTACTTGTTATCTATAACATAATTTTTAATGAATTGATAATAACTTGACTTATCAACAATATTAATAACAACAGTAAATTAGAACTAAATATTTTTGTATTTTGAATAGGTGCTGTGTTTTGTGTATGCAGGAATAATATATCCTTTATATTACATATAAATCCATACGCCTGCAAATGAATTCGGAATTGTTTTTGCGGGATATTTTATAAATATTGCTTTATATGCCGTGGATAAATGCACCTTTGTCATATTAACACAGGGCTTGATATGAATGGTATTGGTACCATAATTTCAAACGGAAAATTTTTGGGTTTGATCACCTTCAACAATTTTTATTAGCATGCATAAGTATTAATGAACCCATATTTGGATACAGTCAAGGTATCCTGATAGTTGATATATTCCTCAGTGACATTATCAGTTCTATTGTAACAGAATTACTAATTATTATAAAATATATCTTTAACTTGATAAATATATCTATTACAATACACACACTAGTAGAACATGAAAATATTCCAAATAAAAAAGACCTCTTTCACTTTATATATACAGATATCTTAGATTACACATAAACTATTGATTAGTTTCGTAATATATGATCTTAAAATAATAGGCAAGTAAAATTTAAGCTAGAAGGTAGGTATTACGTCATTTGGTTGGGATACAAGACAGTAATAGGTTAATGCTCCTCTTGTATTGGGTTAAGGCCGTCTGGGTTATCAATACGATTATGAAGTTGAACCTGTTATAATAATTTATTATTATTTCGTTTGCAATATTACAATCCTATAGTCTTTGGAGTAGTGCAGATATAATGTATATAATGAATTTAGAAGTTATGACGGAGCTAATATGCTCTTACACTTCTAAATAAATAAAGAGAAATAAATAGTATTTTATTTTAATATGTGTATGAATAATTACATAATTACGTTGTCACTAATGAAAAGTTTGTTATATAGAGATTAGTAGAATTGCACTCTCAATTATATTTCAATATACCAGAGGTATCCTGCTCGATTCCACTTATATAAATTATGATAAGGTAACATAACGTTAAATATAGTAAATGGGAATATACCCGTAATTCATCTGTAAATCACAATTCAATTACATGTACTTAGCTAGTTTAAATTTGGTCGATTAACAAACAGTAGTATATGAACAGTCAATTATCTCACAAACTTTCACATTTATTATGAGAAGAATTAGAATACTTAATAAAAAGATATAAGATACAATGACAATTTAGGTAGCTCTTCATTTTAATACCAACAGTGATGTAAGCAGAACACGTGGGTAGAGACATTAATATTTTGTAAATAAATTCTGCTTTCCTTTAGAAAGTTTGTTGGTGGTAAGAGATTGTTTCTTAATTAACACGAGGATAACCTCCACATCACATTGGTAATTATGTCATATTTCCCAGACAAGCCAGACAAGTTGCAACTTAAACCAGACTAATAAGTTGTCGTGTTCACCTCTACGATATAAACGATCATGGACATGTGTAAAATGTAAAAGTACTCGGCCGGCGTGGAATGTTCAATTTGGAAGTTCCATATGTTAGTGAATTAAGTTATTTACTTACCCAACTTCCCCATCATTTCCTCTAATGCGTGATCTTTATCCATTCTGATGGCGAGGTTACGTCCGGTACTGGTTCTGTTGCCGAAGTTCTGTAATGATATTCACAAACACCATTGATGGTAGAGTGGTGATAACGCGGCAGCGTTTATCGAGCCGACTGCGACAGACGTGCGAGCCGGGCTGCCGACGGACGATCGAATGGCGCTCACACTACACTCAGTTACCGCAATCGCGCGAAAAAACATACAACCTTATCTTCACTGGCTTATACCTGACGACCTGGCTGATCGGCAGCCACACAGAGCAGATGACACCACTACTTCTCCTAACTAGACAACTTAAACTGAGGACATTATTAATAATAATATACATTGAAAACATACAGAGCAATACTATCATACTCATGAATAGAAATATTTGAACCATGCGAGAATCATACCTGCGACTATCGTCCTTGCAAAGCTCGCAAAAATCATCATAAACAATTTCTAGTGAATTCATCACCATGAATTAAGTGACCTAATTTCATCCTTATCCTTATGTATGCTATATATAATGTATATATATATATATATATAGTGGAGAGCGCAAGCGAGTTCATTTACATGAAAAACAACTGGAGTATCTGTAGTAACGAGATCACGGTATCATACATTAAATTTAAATATTCTTTATCACGTTGAACACTTACAAGCACTGCATTAGTTATTTAAAAAGTAGTTATTGTACAAATTACACTCTCCAATTCTTATGAATGTAAATATATTATCTCGTGTACATTAAACGAGACAAGTAGAATTTTCTTTAGTTTAGTTTTTTTAGGTGATTACCAGCAAGATACTTAAGTTAGTTCTCGGTACCTAGTACTTATAATGTGTATATAACCTTTATCAGTTGTAATTAAATGGAAAACTAATGATAACTTATGAAAAAATAATGGCAATATTCCCAATGCAAAAAAATAAATTTACAAATGAAATTTACATGATTATTTTTTAAGCATGTAGGCCTATTATTTATATTCTATCGGACTGACAAAGTCGCACCATATAATTCTATTTTTATTTAGTTTTTTTTGTACAGTATCCAAAAAATATCTTCCTTACACTGTATTACAGTTACATTATGATTATTCTAGTTTAATGTTACTCAATCAATCAGAACATTGTATCAATAAAAACGATTTCTTCATTGGAGTTATCTTCTGATAAACGATTAAGATTAACAGAATTATAATAATGAATAACTGCTGTAAATACTGATAATTTAAATCCTACTTAATTTAAAAATTACAGTATTAAGTTTAATTACAAAATACTTTAAAATAATTCTGATATAATACTGTATGATCAATTCTGTTAGTAAAACTATGTAATATTCTCCTATTCATGATAACACTGTTCTTATTGTTAATATTCCGATTAAAATATAGAAAGTAAATATTAATAATTACATTCATATATAATTTCTGGTATTGTATATAATTCTCTTTAGGTTTGGTTTATAGTTGCATTTATCTATTGACGTCATTTCGTTATGAAAAGCAAAACGCTATTTGCGTCTTATTATTTTACAATAGGTTACTTACCTTTCGTAATTATATAGGCGCTGAAAAACAATCGACACAATTATCGTTTCAGTGAAACAAAGTTTAAAAATTAAGGATATTTATAATGTCTACTACAATAAATTGAACTGAATAAAAGAACCAGAAATGACTATGTACAACTTTATGTACTGTATTAAATATATTATGGAAATTAGAACAAGTTTTGAGTTATTTACTTACATTTATTATATATATACAACTACGAGTACATGTACGCACAGTACGAGGTACATACGCTATACAGAGAGAATGAACTCATTGAGTTGGAATTTTAGTAATACTAGAACCTATTCACAAAAGGTGACACTATGTCGCAACATAAGGAGATACCTACGTAATCTCAGTACATATATTAGATATAATAAACAAAGCATACTTAGATCTGAACGCAAAATTAAAAAAATATATATCCAAATAGGACAGTTGAATCACTCAAAGTAGTCGATTTAGTTATTTACCTTACCTTAGTTGAAGCTGTTAGAGGTTCGTAAAGAAAAACTAGCATGAAACTCAATTTTAAAAAGAAAAACTGGACATAAATGGTGTATTTTATGCTTTTATGATATACTAAAATAAGAATTGAAGATAATAGTAGGATAAGTATTTCAAATAGTTTTCATATAAAACATGATATAACCGTAAAAGACATGAGTACAAGTAAAAGAGGTAACGATTTAATATTACAAGTAGGCTGAATGTTTATGCGAAAATTCACGGTATCTACGTCAAAGGCTTATTATGGGTTCCATACTGTATTGAAATTGTTATTAATGTCAAATGGAATATACCAATGCTGTAATCGATACTCCATGTTTCTACAAACGGCGTGCCCACCCTTTATCATAAGTTGCCCTTAAGTGAACTCACTGATAGGATATTTAAAGCTATTCCCTTTAGGTATTCGTATAAATAAACTGGTAACAACAGAACAAAATATGTGGAATGAATGAACGTGATACAGATAATATAATAGTATATTACTTCATTATACCTCTAAGACCATCAATTATTATTGGAATCATGTGAAATGTCGCATATAAAAAGTAGTTGTAGTATGATAGCGCAATGGTGTGGATCATCTTTTAAACTACAACTCTGAAGGGGATAAAGGGGATTGTTAGTAATGTGAACTGATGATCATATTGCTAGCAATGTACCATGTTAGGTTGACCTCCACGTCTTTCCCACTGGAAATCATCGTGACAAATTCTTGGTGAAGTAGTCACGATGGCCTAACTGACCTAACCTCATGCTCAATTTATCCTCCTTTGGTGCCCCACAAGCATAAAGCGTTAGAGCAGGTGAACCATTCTATTATTATCATCCAAAAAAATAAAAAGAAACAACTCTGATCTAATGTTGATGTAGAGTACCTACATCGTTATGTTATTACAATCATTAATTACTATTTTAAAAAATACTACCTACTATTATTTAGATAATTACTTCCCAATATTCCCAGTATAATACTCATTATTTTGATATTTTCTAAATAACACTTTTTGAACAAGGTCGGCCGATCGCCAATAAGAAGAAATATATGTAATAAATAGGATAACATGAGTACACATCATTAATATAATTTGTTGGGTGTTAATACACGACAAACTATGCTGATAATGGGTAATAGTACCTAAGTGTAATAAAAAACCGGCCCACAGTACCTACATATATATATTAAACACACATTATCAGGGTTCCATTATGTTATTAACTAGGCTTATAACTCTACAAGCTGTACAGTCATATGCACTGATATAAAAACACTTTGTTATTATCGATCTTTCTTAACGGTATCATATATTTATGCATTGCTACAAAGTGCAGAAATGATTACATGTCTATTCAGTATACTGTTATTCCATTTGATGAGATCTGTAGGAAAATAACACACTTTGTTTAATTACTTTATATAATTTCATTTCAGTTATTTTAAAAGGGTCGAAACCAGTGTTTCCCAACTGTTAAAATTATTATGCCCCCATCTCTCTGTGTAACATCCGTAATTTATAACACAAAAAAATTTAAAGTTTCTCTTAAGAAAGATAAATAATAGGTTTTAGGAAGATTATTACTAGGAAATTCTTAATGAAACAATAAGTAAAATTTCAAAACACGTAATGCAAAATTTAAATTCATATTCCATATGATTTTTAATAAAGAGTAGACTCTTTATTAAAAATTTCGAATTCGAATTTCGACTTGGACACGGTTAATAATTTAACTGTAAAGTTAGGGGTGGCACCCTTAAAAGTCAAATTGTTCCCAGTGGGGTGTGGGTTTCACATTGGGAAACTGTTTTCCTCAAAAACGATAGTCAGTTATCCGGCTATCGTTTTTGAGTATGAAGTGTATGAACGTAGTTGATATACCTAAGTATATGAACCTATATCTAGATTAGTAGTAGCACAGATAAGGTAATACCGTATAGTAGTATTAATCAATTACGAATTTTACAACACTGAATCTAAAAATATACAAAACATTTTCATCAGTACAAAAATAAATAAAGACTAGCAAATAGTTATCTTAAATATTTACTAATTGACAACGTGATAATTAGCTCAGGGAACGGAAACAATGGCTTTTCTCTCATCTAATTCAAGGTTGTATTTGAAGCGGCTAATTTGAAACAGTACGTCAATATTATGTATTTAATCACACTAATTAAGACTGTAGCTGGCATCATATTTCACGAATCATGTCTTCTAAGTATTATTGTTGGAGAATAATAATATATACATAAACAATAGTGACCTCGAGCGGTCCTAAGGAACTTAAATATTATTTAAGAAGAATATAAGATTTTATCCTTGCGTATTTATACTTACCTCGGATGTCTAAAATATGAGTTCACTAAGGCTTTAATAGAGAGTTCGTTTCTGTTACCGTTTTAGTACAAATCCAATTTGGAACTATTGACTCTAACTATATATCATTGAGGAGGGGATAATTAGTAATGGGAACTAGTGGCCTCATAACCATAATAGCAATGTCCCATATCAAGTCGACCTCCATGTCGGTCTACTGGAAACCATTCACGAATTTGAAAGTTGCGCTATTTCAGACGATAGAATGAGCATGCTGACCCGCAAACATATACCATTAGCACAGACAGACACACCATCCCCCTTTCATCCATAAAAGAAACTTTATAAATAATACATTTCGCAATAATATCGTTTATTTATACTTTTAAAAGCAGTTATTTCTCATTAAATCGACTAATAGACTGGACTCGGCGTCAAATGTCAAAGTTCATAGAGTTACAATGTGATATAAGTATAGATGCAATGTCTATGTACGATATTTATTATATAATTGTACTATAAGCTGTTTAGTATGTAATAACCTAAATAGAATTCGTGTATTGCAGAATCGGGACTGTAGGTATGTTAAGATGTTACTACTGAGGTTTTGGTTTAGTAGATATGGTTACACAAATATGTATGGGAGTAATGATAACCTTTTGTAATTCAAACGGCTGTTTTAGACTCCTGGTATTCTAAAATCCTTATTTGGAATAAGAATTTAAAATGCGCCAATATTTAAATGGGACTCGTTTTGAGACAGAATAGTTGTATACAAAAACGTTTCTAAAATAATAGATATGTTGCAATGGTAATGAA